GTGTGGCATATGTCCGTGTGACAAGTACTCCCTTTCGCCGAACAAGCTGCTGATTGCCTCCTCGGTGACGTGTGTATAGCCGGCTTTCGTGGCGCGGCTGAGAACCCTTCAGCGCCCGCCGAGCCTGTCTTCCAGCATCCTGGTTGGCTCCCAAAGCTTGCCGGTCGACATCTCGTCAGCACACGCAAGGAGTTGCCAAATGGACAACAGGAGCGGGTCATTGTCCTGCAGTTTGCGCTGATCGACCAGGTTGCCGACGAGTTTGGCGAACTGCGCAAGGAAAGCGAGGTAGATCTGGGGCTCCTCGGCGCTCTGCAGTTCGGCCATGACGCACTGCGTGATCTGGACAGCGCGATTCCTCCAGTCGACATCGGCGAAAGCGGTGACCAACGTGGCGAACAGGTTCAGGCAATTCGTCAACATGTCTGACGAGTTTGCGCTTGCACGGTAGTCGGAGACCGACCGCTCTTGTCCCCACGACTGATCCAGACGCCAGAACTGTGTGATCTCGTCCATGCCGTAAAAGGGAGTGCTGACCAGGTGGAGAGCCGTGTTCCAGGAGTCCTCGTGAAGCCGCAGATCCGTCAACGATTCCATGATCCTAGTGAAGTGTTGGGTGTCTTTTTGCAGGCTTTGAGAGGTGCGGGTGTTATACCGATAGTACGGGCTTCGATAAGAGGAAGTAGAAAGAAAAAGGCTAAAGATGGAAGACAACTTTCATCCAGTCCTCCAATTAACCCATAATGACGGTGTGGTGATGTCCATAATCTTAACGTGGATGTCTTTCGTATTGGTCAAAAGAGGAATTGTCCTTGCATGTTTGTTCCGCGTTTGATCCAGTGAGTTTTCTGCTTTCATCAAGCCAGACTTTAGTGACTGGTTCTGACTCTCCAACCGTTCGACCCTTTGCTTAACGGAGTTGAGGACAATGGACTCCCGCTCCGCGAATCGTTAGTAAAGTGCCCGTAGTCTTCTCGTAACTTTGTGCTGCCTGGTTTCGTTGTCAAGCTCGGATCTCAGGCTCTGAATGTAAGCATCCTTCTTTTCCAGCTGGTCCTGCCACGCCCTCCCGCGCGATCGCCATTTGGCAAGATCGTTCTCCATTTCTTCAAGCAGTCTGGGAAGCTCTGCGTCCGGGTGGTTCTGCTCAAGTTTGGCGAGCTTGTCGGTAAGCTCATCATTCTTGGCTTTAGCGGCGTTGTGATCGCGGGTCAGGTCTTCCAGGCTGCTCTGCAGCTTGTCTCGCTCGGCTGTACAAGACTGCAACTGCTCTTTGAGCTCCGTGGTCTCCTTATCGGTTCCCAGGATACTTTTCAGCAGCCTGGTCTATCCATTTGCCTGGTCACCTGCCGTGGCTTGGTCGTGAAGATCGACGAGAAGCTGCCCGGTCGCGTCGTCTATTTTCAACGCGCAATTGGTTAGAACCGTCTTCAACAAGGTCACAAGCATTTTGCCTTTGTCGTCGGTAGCGACCAGACTTTCGGCCCGGCTCTCGTCCATTCTGATCTTGTTTCCCTGCTTCATCCTTTCCAGGGTATCCCTAGACGCAGCTGTGACATCCGACCCCCAGTGCCCGACCTTGTTTTCAATCTTGAAAGTGTCCTTGGTGGTTTCGCCGAGTCGGTCGGATCCGGCATGGCTTCTTGAGCTTGATGACTGGCTCTGGTAACCCGGTTTGACGGGACTTATATCATCGATGTATCTGGGAGTCTTGAATTGGCGTTTCGTCGGTGTTGACTTGACGCTTGTTCACCGGCGAATTGTGGTGCAAATGTGCTGGCCACCGTGGGTATGTTCTGGGCTGCTCATGGTTTACACAGCGAGTTAGCGATATTCCTTGGTCAGGTATCGCAGGCTAGGCGGCTATTTGGCTTGGGACTGGCTTTTACTTACAACGATACAATTGTTCCCCGAAGTTGACGTCAATGAATTGTTACTATCGAATCAGCGGACTTAGATAGATTGACCAATTAGATAGGACCCGGGGTCCCGAGCCTACCGGACTACGGGCCAGACACGGTCCCGGTGTCCCGAGTTTACGGGACTATGGGACAGGGCTGAAGACCAGTATATAAGAAGGCCTCCCGGCCTTCGTTATTAGGGTTCTTCAGCAACCAATAGCAATCACAATACATCAGTACCTTTCGGCTACTACTCTGTTACTCTATTGTTCTATCCCAGCGATAATACTCCTGTGCTTGTAACGGTTCGTCACATGGATGTGAGGCGTGCGTTAAGACAGCAGAAAGACGAGGACGGTTGCTGGGGGCGACTCGTTAGATTGGAAATGATCGAAAGATCAGACTAGGAGAGCAGTGGAAATTGAATTCTGCGTGCAAAAAAGAAGAAAGGGAATTGCCGGCTGGGTGAGAAAGGTGCCAGGCATTTTTCCAAGCGAATGACGCGTGCAAAGCTCCGGGGTCGTACCTGTCTTTGCAAAACCAAGTAAATGGGACGAACGAATCTGAAATGTCAAAGAAGGTAGGCACCACTGCAAAACCCATCCTGTCCCTTCCTGGGCGTCCTTATTTGCTCCTTGGAAACTACCTACCTAACTACCCAACAATCCCTCGGGAGAACCTCAACAGCCATGGATCACGAACACACCTTGGTCAGCACCTGTGATCTGGGCCATTCCCAGTTCGCTACTTCATGGCCAGCACAGCCGACTGGCGACCCGGTTCCCACCCCCGAGCGGCCGCTTCTTGGGCCTGAGCAGAAATTCATGATGCAGGCTCTGGCGGAAGGAGAGTCAAGCTTTTATGTCTGTCTCGGCCTGCTGCAAGTGCTCGACATGATCCAGAAGAACGCCATTATTCCGATGAACAGTAAGGTCCAGTCGTTCGAGCAAGATTTCAAGTCCGGCAGCCACGAGTACACCATGCTTCTCCATGCCATACCCACCGGGCTGCGCAACTCGTTGATTCAGGGTACGCTGGCCTACGACTACGTCAAGGGCAAAGAGGTGCATGGCAAGGAGCTTTAGGAGCGCGGAAGATATGCCGGTATCTACACGGTCGGCATCACGATCGAGGGACGTGACGGAGCCTTCCTCAACATCAAGGAATGTAGCAAGGTCGCCGATGTCCTCGAAAACTACTCGCGAGCATACGAGCTGTTGACCACGACCGAGACCGAGTACAGTCCGCTGCCCGCCAATGCCCATGAGGTTATTGATGACTCTCGCAAACTCGACCAAGCGTGTAGATACACGGAGCCGGCCACCATACTTCACTTCATGGACGACTTCGGACAACTTGTTGACAACGTACACTTGAAAGCGCTATTTCGGAAACGCGGCAGAGCTTTAGACAGACTCGGGTGCGACGAGACGACCAACATGCATCAATGACCACTGTTTGTCGGATGTACCACCATGCCTATGGTTGAACAACTCGCAAAGCTTCATTACGACAGCGACATGGCTACCGTCCCGAGTGTCAGCAAGTTTCTGTCCCTGACCCTCGGAGCTCTCCGATACATCGGCCTACATCCATATACGGTGGAGGTTCCCGTCTTGCCGATTTGGGTCCCAGAACACCTTGCGATGGGTGAGCGACTGGTGACCGTTCTTGCCAGCTCCCTCATCAGCCAGGGAGGGTTTAACAATATCCAGCCCGGCAGCAAGCCTGAAATGGGGATGGACATGGAGCTTTGCGACGAGGCAGGCGGCTACCTTGCGGAGAAGACCAAGTACTTTGAGCAAAACCTCGACAAGACGATAGTGGACAGCGAGGATTTCCTGCGCAGAACCGAGGGTGTCGAGCATCTCACGCGCTGCTTTCAATTTATTCTCAGCGGCTAGCTGGAGAAGAAGGTCGAAGATACCAACAACCGCCTGAAACGCTTTGAGCACGCGACGAAGGTTTTGATGGACAACAAGGAGGACATTCAGGAGAGATTACGCAAGATCAGAGAATACCAACAAGCCGTTTTCACCAAATATCTCTTCAAGACAAGGTACGCGAGACTGTTGCGAAGCATTACAGCACGCTTGGGAGTCGACGATGGTAGCACCCATGCGAGGACAGAAGGCCCCCAGCCAGAGTAGTCGACATATGTTGAAGGAAGGTGATCTTGACTCGTAAATGAGGAATGCAGCCATTTGAGGCCACAGACTCAGAGGGTTGTAGATACATAAGGACTAGATTCCCACAAGTAACAGTAGCTTGAGAGCAAATCCCATCTGGTTCCACACCGATCATCATTGCGGCTTTGACTGTTTTCCGAAATTTGAGTGATCTACCTAGACGCTTTCTCGGTTGGTGTTTGTATACACTGAGGGCGGCATCAGCTTGTCGGCTGTAAGCAAGATACCTGGTGTACGGAAATCCGGAACATCTCCTCCCTGACGTTTGTCGTAGAACAGCATGTACTGGCCCGGCTCGTCGAGATCCAAGTCGAGCGAAAAGTACTTGCAGTCGACCTCTTGCATTCGGTCATTAAGCATAAATATGGGAGCCAAAAAGGGGCGGCCGTACATGTCGTACAGCCAGATGTTGTCAAGCTTGCATCAGAAGACTTACCGGCGGCCGCAATGTCGTATGTGGTCATCCGCTTGGCACATTCTGCTGCCCCGGACAACGAAGGTTCGAATGCTGGCGAAAGCCTTCGTGTGACCGGCCGCCGGCGTGTATCTGGCCCGAATGACAATCGCTTCTTCTGGGCCACAATTGATGTATGCCGGGCTCTAGGGATTGGCTTGTCGTGCCTTGCAGTCCTGGCTGATGTAGCGCCCGTTGTCACGGCCATCCCACTTGACGAGGCTCCTCTGAAATCAAACTTGTGGTTAGCAGTGAACTTGATCTATTGTGTTGGAGAACGCACTATTGCGTACCTCAGCGGCGTTGCCTAACTGCAGAGACAAGGCCTTCCACTTGTTTTGATTGAGGGCAACACGGCGATGAGCTTGGCGACTGAAGCGGGTGAATTCGGCGTGAATCCAGAGCGTCTCGATCATCAACCTGTGCTCAATCGGGTCCGACAGAAGAGTGGTCGGCTGAATCTGTAAGTCTAGCTGGCGCGTGACCGTATCCGCAGCTCGGGGTGTAAGATGGCAATGGAACGCCCACCGGTGCCTTCAAAGCATGCTGGACCAGCGCGCTGTTCTCATTGCCGAATGTGATGTCAGTCGCGTGACTGGCAGCGGTGCGGATGACGATGATGAGGACGTCCAAGGCGTTGGCGGCGATGCGAGCCGACTCGTCTGGGCACGAAACGGGCTAGAGATGATCCGACTCTCAAGAGGATCCTGTCCTTTGGGAGAGGGTCTGACATGGCGACGTGTCGATTGACGCAGTCCGGAAGGATGTTGCCTCTGGAAAACAGAACCGAAATGTTTGATGAAAATTCGAGCCCCTCTTCTTCTCGAAAGTGGAAGTTGCGCCGCTCACCATTTTCAGTCCCGTCCTTTCCTTCCCCGTTGCGAAAAAAGTCCGTGTCCTTCACTCTTGCCATTCACTGGCACTCCGTTCCTAATGTTCATTTCAGGCTGTCGCGACTTCCGTACATCAGAGAAATTTCAGCACCGCACTCAAAATAACAGTGTCGTTGCCCCTTCATCACCCTTTCCTTCAGCAGACTGGAGAGTCCATCTCGAGATTTTTTTCGTCTGTCCGCCCCACGATCAGTCACCATGTCCGTCTTCGACTTCGATGTCGCTAGCAACACGTTGGCCCAATGCATCGATTTCTGCAACAGCCGAACACGGCGTGGCGAGAATACTCGATTCTTCTTGCACGTTATTCGAGAAGTCAACGACATGGCCTAGAACCTAAGGCAATTATTGGACGCCGAATTCACTCAAATCTGGCAGCACCGACAAGACCTTGCCCGCGAGAGGCAAGAGGCTCAGCAAGCCCTTCAACAGGCTAAGCAGAAAGATGCTCAAGACGCCCTTCAAGATGCTCGGGTCAAGCTCGATCATGTGCAACAGGAACGCCGTCAGCAAGAGCAGGAGGAGTTACAACTCAGCACCAGACACCAAGTGCTTCAAGGCCAGACCCAACAGCAGGCGACCGATCGCCAGGCACTCGAGGAGGAGAAGGCTGTTTTGGCGACTGATCGCCAGGCACTCGAGGAAGAGAAGGCTGCTGTGGCGCGAGAGCGTCAGATAGTTGAGGAGGAGAAGGCTGCTGTGGCGCGAGACAAAGAAGAGCTCGCTCGCAACTAGCGTACGTTCGAGGAGCTGGAGAATGTCTCGGAGCGAGTCGACACGGTTCAAGCGTTCATCGAGGTAGCCGGCCAAACAAACGACCGCCTCGCGGCGGCCCAGACAGAGGCCGCATCAACCACATCACTGATCGACCAGCGACTCACACATGTCGTGGATCAGCAGCTCGAATCCATTGTCAGCAAGTTGGGTGATGTCCAAGGCGTTGCCGAAGGAACCAACAACCGCCTAGCATTGATCGAAGATGTTGCCGAAGGAACCGGTCTGCACGACCGCCTCACATCAATCAAAAACGAGATCGACAACGGTAGACGAGCGCTCGACGATATTCGCATTGTGGTGACAACCGAAAACGAACTTCTCAAAACGCGAGTCGACGCCCTCCGGCAACGCAACCTCGAGTTGACCCTCCAACTCGAATCGTACTGTGGCATCGGTGCAACTGAGTCCGGTTCCTTCAATCACGAGTGGCTAGCCTTGGTTAACGAAGTCAGACGCAACCTGTTGTCCATCAACGTATCCAAGCCACAAGGCTGTGACTTGCGCACCATCCTATATCACATAGCCAAGGCGGTACAGAATCGCACTTTGCACCATCGCTTGGCGGTCTTCAGGGTTGCGTCGCAGTGGAATGACTGGTACTGCTGGGAGGATGTGATGAACCGGGGACAGGATGCTGTTGTTGTTGAAGGACCATACAGGTTACACCAGAATGGTGCTTGCTTCCAGGTCAAGCGGGTGGAAGAGGGATTCTCCGACTTGCTGGTTTTTCGTGGCCCCAACCTTGGGCTTTGAGCGTGCACGGCACTCTGTTGTTCTCAATGAGGCAGAGATATTTTGATGCTGTAATGTAAATACGATACTGTCCGAATAACACCTACCCGGCCCAAGTTCACTCTCTGCGCGGTAATCTTCAGCGGACCACCGTAATTTTGCAGTTTCGATGCCATGTTCCTGAAAATGCGTGAAAATGACGGGGAGTGGTTGCCGACGGGAATGCGCTAATCTTCCACAAGCTTGGCCGCTAAAGGGTCCAATCTAGCCGCCGGCTATGGTTGGCTCAGAAGCCTCGTTGTACCCCGTGCTAGCGCTCAACAGGAATGGCGTGCAAACACAGGGCGTCGCGCGATCAGCAGGTACCCTGGACTGTGGCACGTGCATCCCCGCAGCTTGTCCTGTTTCTGGATGAATGTTTCAAGAAAAGCCTCTCCCGCATGACCCCTGTCGACCCCTCCCACACCCGTGCAGCCCACCGAAACAGCTTGTAAGCCACTGTAATAGGTTAAGACAGCGTAAGATTGAATGAATTGAATGTGACGCCGCCAAGTGCAACCGGTTGCTTGTGCTTGTCTTGTCTTTCTCAGCTTCCCCTTTTCCTCCTCTTTTCTTCTCTTCTCGTCAAATCGCTTGGTGTTTGTCCCGATCGTAGTGGGATCCCTCTTCCCTTTCTTGTTTAGTTGAGTTGGCCGTCTGGGCTGCGCGCACCTTCTTGTTTTCCATTGCCAACTGTCACTCTCTCAATCGCATTAGCCGCCCATCCCCAGCGCCACCAACGTCGCTTTCTGGATCACGATCGACCTCGTCGTCTACGGAGACCTACCGACTAACATTCGGTCCTCGAACCACAGTCCCTCTCTTTACCAAACCATCGCCAGTATTGCCTGGCCCTACCACCGATCCTACAATCACTCGATTCATTTGCGCAACCGTCAGTTGACCTGACCTTGCTGCCAACCACGATACACTATCTCGCGAGCTCGAGACCACCACAGTCCTTTGACACACTACGATACACCAGAGATGCAACTCTGAGTCCATTCATTACACGAACCGCTATATTCCTCTCAACATATCCAACCGAGCGAATCATTATCCCAAGACCCGCAATCCACGATACAATGTTTCTACCGCGATACGTCGCCTCGGCCATTGCGCTGCTGGCTTCCTCAGCCCTTGCCCAAGTCACAACCGACTGCCAGCCCCTCAACAAGACATGTCCTCCCGATCCCGCCCTCGGCATGGACTATTCATGGACCTTCAACTCGACTCCCAAGGCCTGGGCTTGGGAAACCACGGTCGGCACCGTCGATTTCGACAATGACAATGGCGCCGCCTTCACCATCAACAAGCAAGGCGACTCCCCAACCCTGCGTTCCAAGTTCTACTTCTTCTGGGCCGCACCGAGATCTGGATGAAGGCTGCCCACGGAAAAGGCATTGTCAGTTCCGTCATGTTCCTGTCCGACGACCTGGACGAGATTGACTGGGAGTTTGTCGGCGGTGAGGCCACCAGCGTGCAGACCAACTTTTACGGCAAGGGTGTCATTGAGTCCTCCATTCCCGGAAAGCACGACGTTCCCGGTAATGCTCAGGAAGAGTTCCATAACTATACCACCGATTGGACCAAGGACTACCTCGACTTCTACATTGACGGCAACAAGGTCCGCACTTTGCTTCCCGCCGAGGCCAACAACACGCAATACTACCCCCAGACACCCATGCGCTTGTCCCTCGGTATTTGGGCTGGCGGCGACCCGAGAATGCCCAACGGTACGAAGGAGTGGGCTGGTGGTGAAACCGATTACAACGCTGGCCCGTACACCATGCATGTCAAGTCTGTACAGGTTACCGACTACAGCGACGGCAAGGAATATGTCTACGGCGACCGCAGCGGCGCTTGGGAGAGCATCAAGGTTGTCGAAGGTAACTCCACCATCAAGGAGATCATCGAAGCCCCACCCAAGGAATCGGTGTCAGACAAGTGGAAGGGCATGTCGAACACAACCAAGACCATCATCTACGCCTGCTGCGCCGGTGCTGGTGCGCTGCTCGTCATTGCTGCCGTGTTCGTCTGCATCCGTCAGCGACGACGGGGTGCGCGCCAGGCTGCTCTTGCTGAAGCCCAGTACGAGCGCGATCGCATGGAGCTTGACCGGCTGCAGAAGGCTGGTATTGATCCCGATAGCTTTACCGAGCAGGCGGCCGAGTATCATGCTGGTGATATGAAAAAAGACGGCATGGTTACCACGACAACTTATAGTGTTCCCCCTTCTCCGCCACTCGATGGCCCGAACAACGGTTCCTCTACGATCTCGGCAGTTGGCGCTGGCGCCGCTGCTGGAGCTGCTCTCGGTGCTACCGGTGCCGTTGCCGCCGCCTCCCTCTCTCAATCTCCCCGCGTCGCTAGCCCTGCTCCCGCTCCCGGTCAGCAACAGCAGCAATTCAACTCCTTCGACAACAATATGAACATGAACCGCGTCGCTTCCCCTGCCCCAAGCATCCCTTCCTTCGCCGCCTCTGCCATGACCCCCACCATCCCCAACGTGACTGGCGGTTACCAGAGCCAGTCCCAGAGCCCGTCGTTCCCTCCCAACCGCAGTTTCACCTCTCCGGCCCCTGCCTCGCCTAACCCTCAAGGTTCGCTGTATGGAGACAATATGAACAGAGTAGGCAGTCCCGCTCCCGGCGGAGGTCTAGCCCACCCTCAGCCGCAAAGAAGCTTTACCGCCGGTCCTACTGCCCCTGGCTTCGCAAGCCCGCAGTCTGCTAGCTTCGACTTTAACAACAACGGGGGTTACAACAGCCCGCAGGCTTCGACATTCGGTGGGGCGTATGGCCAGCAACCAGCATCCGGACTTGGAACACAGCCCAGCGGTCCTGGGTATTGTCAGGCTGGTGTTGGTCAAGTACCTGACTTTGGTCTGCCTGGTCAAAGCGGATTTGCGGAGGGGAGGGATAGTTATTGGGGTGATACTCGTGATAACGGGCATAACCAGGGACACATGAACAACGGGGGATACAGGTGATGACGGGTGATGGTGACACAGGGGATGTGGGATCTGGGATGTTGGGAATTTCAGGGGATGTCATGGCGATTCCAGCGCCGGGGATGGATGCCTATTTATTGACGGGATGATACGATTTACTGCCTTTACGGCTCTACTTTTACGAGACCATTTCTTTGCTTATCTTCTTCTCGCGAGCGAGCGTTGCAAGCGAAGCGATCCGTTGCCATACGTTTGACGTTTACTAGCTATACTTCAGCATGATACAAAGAAAGTAGAGGAAGGAAAATATGGGGATTAGATTTTCTGTGTGACTGAAACGCAGTGATGAATGCATTCAGTGTCATGATTGCTGAGAAACCGTTGTGGGTGTTTTCCTCCATGTAACATCCAATAACTATTTGCACTACATAAGTGCAAGTCTGGAAGTAGACATCGAGCAATTAGGAATGATTGATCAGCCGCTTGCCCGGCTAGCTCAATCGGTAGAGCGTGAGACTCTTAAGGAGTTCCTCCGTAATCTCAAGGTTGTGGGTTCGACCCCCACGTCGGGCTCAATTCCCGTCGTTCCTTCCATTTTTTTCGGCAAATCTTTTATTTCATCTCCTGTCTTAATGGTTATTTCCTGGCTTTTGTAGAATGCCCCAAGAGTGTTTGATTTATTGCCATTGGGCAGGAGGTCAGCCAATGTCTTGTTGTGAAGCATTAATGATATTTAAAATATCTGAACGGTTTTGCTCTTTTCGGTTCTAATGCTCACACATTTGTTCTTTTGCTCAAAGCCTCAAAGCGCCAAGCCCCTATATGAATCGACCGGGTTAGGTAGCTGAGACGGAGAACATCCAGCAACTTCACCGGAGTCAGCTCCGGTCCAAGCGGATACTTCAGGATCTACGTGCAATTCCGTCGTGGGTCCGCTGGCCGGCCCCGATCGGTTTGGGGGGACTGCCGAGAACCGAGCCCGCGAGCGGGAACGTCGACATGGACGAGTAGACCCCGATAGGGTGACGAGACAAAGCCAAAAGACCCCGGATGCACGGGCCCCGCTATACAAATAAGTCCCGGCGATTTGGCAGGTACCTACCTTACCACTTGACATCTTTCACTTGGATTCCGAAGGGTCTGTTTGTCGGACTTCTACCTTGACTCTTTTCTTTATAAAGAATTACATTTCAGACAGCTGTTTTACACTACGGCACGACACCCGGGGATCAGCCCGGGGTAGCGTCAATGCGGAAAACGGATCGGCCCCGGAACCGGACGGAGCGAACGGAAGGGATTGGATCGGAGCTACAGTCCCGGCTGCTTTCATGTCCGAACGCTGTGATTCTGGCATCACCAAGCCAAAGCGAACCCCCCCCTTTCCAATGTTCTTTCATATCATATCTCAACAACGACCAGACGACAGACAACCTTATCCGGCTGAAAGGTCTGAAACGCTCACGTCTTGGCCATCACGCCGGATAAACATTCATCGTGCGCATCTTTCTATCTCTTGGTAGAACGAGTTCTAAGAGTCAAATGACGATTAGCGAAAACAACTAGGCAACTCCTTGCGGCGGATTTCTCACTAGGAACCACGACAACGCTGCCACGATTCCACGCGACAACGAAAGACCCGCAGACCATAACCTTGGTCAAAACGAGAACCCAGCCAGACGATCACAAGTGGAAGAAACTTTCGATTCCCATAAGATCCGGAGACAGCCCCGCCTCGATTGTCCCTGCAAATGCCCAGTCGTCGATATCGGGGACGGACCCTGAAAGTGCAAAAACGAAAAGCGAATTCGGTCATGAACCCTCGGTGTGAAAGAATCCAACGTGGGAATTCCAGTTTCCTCTATCGCAGCGAGCTGACCGACACCAACGACCTTCATAATCCTCACAGCTCCCATGGCGGAATTGAGATGTCGATAACATCAATATCATGCCATAAAAGCCTCGGTCAGCTCATCAAATCACAGGATCAAAAGTAAAGAGACCTTGTGCTGATGTCCAGAACTTTTGTAAGCTTACTGAGCGTGGCAAATGACGAAGTATGACGAGATCTCATCCGTATTCCATTTGCCATGTGAGCTCGTCTGTAAGTCTGGCATACAAATCCCAGAATCCGATAGGACAATGTCCGACAATCCGACCGACCGACCTACCATCCGGGATGCGGTAGCCTCTCCTTCCGCGCATTCCTTTCCGCGCGCCGAGAGTTCCGTTGATTTTCGATAGTTCCGTCCCGGGAATTGTCAAAAGGATCCAGCAGATACCGAAGGTTCCCCGTGGGTTCGCCGGCCGAGGCCCGAAACTTGATGAGTAATGAGATGAGAGGGATGGAGATGGGATTTCAGTCTTGACAACACACAAATTCGATACACTAGTTTAAAGCGGGATGTTGGCGGCAGGTAGTTGGTCTCATATATCCGGAAGTTCCCGAGACAGAGCTAAAGTCAACGTGCATGTCGTCCCAGAGAAGCGGCACGATACGATTGCGGGCATCACATGATGTTCAAATATTCTCATTTCTCTCAAGCAACACCAACTTTTCGACGTCGTGGTATGTACTAGGGGCGGAAGAGGAGAGACAGAGCATAACGCGACTATGCTACATTCCCAAACCCGCCATGGGCATCGCTCAAATCCATTTCGACACACACGATACACTGCCCTCGAATCCACTCTAGCGAAAGTAAACTATTGCCTGGCTGCATCCGTCAGCGTCATCATGCGGTGATGGTGATGGGATCGGTCTCATGCTGTGGTACCGGTATCCCAAGTTGGCTGGTGGTTACACCATTTTTTAATTTCCGTTGTTGTTGTCAAATCAAATTGAGCCGCAAAAGCCGCCCGCAATTGTCGACACACTTGTGTATGTAAATGCATCGAGGTCTAGACGTGCCAGAGGCCCAGGGCGTCGGTAGCGCAACAGCCAGAACTGCCCAAGTGGGTACGTCTTTTGTTTTGAGAGTGTCATGATATTGCTGTTGTGGCGGCTTAAGGTGGTGAGATCGTCAATACGGTTCATGGAGAAGCCGGAGATACTCAGACATGATCTGAGACACCTTTCGGTTTTTTATATAGTTCGCGGTGAGGCCTAATAAAGCATTACTCGACGATCAAAAGATCTAGACGGCCAAGTTTCCGTTCCAATCGCCTGGCCTCTTTCCGACTGCATTCGCGGGTGCGGCCCGCTGGGGATTGCCGGAAGGGAGCGTGTAGGATACGTCTTGATAGTCTCGTGTGATCAAGAACAGCTGCATCTGCGTTGATACATATATACGTATGGTGACAGGCTGGGAAGACACGACAATTGGTGTCAAAAGTTGACAGTTTTTGTAAGGGCTCTTTGAGCTGGGCAGAATGATCCTTGGCAACCACTTTTATTGTGGATAACCCATTGATTCGTTCAAGACGTTCTGTACTGTATTTTACCATAGGGAACTCCTTATCGAGCTTATCCAAAACATCCTATGTTACAGCACATCTCACTCAAACCACCCTGCACCAACAAAAACGGGAGGGTAGGGTTACGTTCCCGCGTGAAACACTACCTCTAAACTAACAACGACATATTTCTTTAACAGTGCGAATTTATGATTTTCTGCTAAGACTATATGCTACTTCTAGTAATTAATCCTAATCTGCTGTAAGGTAATAGTACTGCAAACTTGATAAAATTTTAGTATTTTTATAGCCAATATATACATATGGATAAAGAACAAGGCCGGCTGACTGGTCAATGTCAATCTTGGTAGAAAATGATAAATTTGCACTATTGAAAAGATTAATATATGTTAACGTGTAGCTAGTATTGTGCTTTATAACTGCTTTGTACTATCTTGTAGTATAGAAAGCTGATTAAACTATTTCTTTTACGAAATCAGCTTACTCAGCTTCCATAGAACGTGCTAGAATATAGAGGTTTTGCCACTGTATTTTGGGATTCTCTAACTTGTTCAGCATTTCTTTTAAAGTAATTTGTCATTATAGAATGCACTAGAAGCTGATAGATTTAATTCATTCCTTTTATAGTATAATACTTCTACAAGCACTTCTATTAACTTATAGAAGCTTCTACACTTTGAAAGCTTCTAGATATCTAGCGTTCGTGTATATAAAGACTTCTTCTCTTCTTTAGTATAAGGGGTACAGCATAGTTGACACAGATGCTGGCCAAAAGAATCGATAAGGTTCTACGAAGAGAGAAGCGGAGAAAAGGACACCCTCTAGGTAGTCTGGCCGGCTGTCCTAAAGAAGAGACATGCGCGCGCATAGGCCAATGTTGCCTGCCGCGAGAGTGGAGCACTCGTATGGCAAGATTGTCAGGCATTTCAGCCACGGGCACTATCCTCATAACACAGCGCACCCCAGGAGTCTATTCAACCGGAGAGCAAGTCTGGCTTGTATAGGGTTCAAGCCAGGCAGACACTCCTAGACGCCAGCCCTATGACAAAGCTAAGCAATTCCATCGTTGACAATGCAATACATTTCACAGAGTTTCAGGCCCGGCTGGGCAATGTCTAAACAATCGCTAATGCTTAGAGGTTATGGTGCAGCCTAAGACTTTTCCTCAACCTGTCACGGCGCTGGCGAACTACTACATCACTAGGCTATGTTCCAAAAGAATACAAGTAACCGAAGCTGACAATTCGGTTGCTCAAGTGGTCTTATATAGTTGTGATGGCAGTCGAGAGGCACAACGGCAAGGCTGCCATCATACAACCCACTCTTTATAAAAGAGAAGGGAAAAAAATTGTTGGACAGCGAAATATTCATGGGATAATCTATATTAGCGTTAAAATACTAAGAAAGCTATTAGTACAACATTGACTATCACTTTGCGTATAATGAATTTCAACAGCTATACAGCCAAAAATGTAGTTTTAAAACTTTTTTCTCTATCTCTTGTTACGAACTTATGAGGACA